CTGTAATAGGACAGTGTGTTAACCACTTAAATATAGTATTGGCAGACCTCAGAGATATTGTGGGTTCAGTTCCAGACCACCACAATAAATTGAATATCACAATAAAAGGAGTCACATGAATTTTTTAGTTTCCTAGTGCATATGTTTATACTATACTGTAGTCTATTAAGTGGGCAATAACATTATGTCTAGTTAAAAATTCCTTAATTAAAAATGCTGTATTGCTAAAAATGATAACAATGATTGGAGCCTTTAACGAGTTTTAATCTTTGTGCTGGTGGAAGGTTTTGCTTCAGTGTTAATGGCTGCTCACTGATCAGAGTGTTAGTTGCTGAAGGCTGGGGTGGCTGTGGCAATTTCTTAAAATAAGGCGGCAGTGAAGTTTGCCACATCAATTGACTTTTCCTTTTAAGAGTAATTTCTCTGTAGCATGTGATGCTGTTTGATAACATGTTACCCACAGTAAAAACTTCTTTCAAAATTGGAGTCATCCTCTCAAACCCTGCCACTGTTTTATTTCAACAGTCTTCACAGCACCTTCACCAGGAGTACATTCCATCTCAAGAAATTACTTTGTTTGCTCACCATAAAAAGCAACTCCTTATCCATTAAAGTTTTATCATAATTCAGTCATATCTTCAGGCTCGACTTCTAATTCTAATTCTCTTACTGTTTCTCCCACATTTGCAGTTACTTCCTCCACTGAAGTCTTAAATCCCTCAAAGTCATCCAGGAGTGTTAGAATCAACTTCTTCCAAACTCCTGTTAATGTTGCTAGAATGGGTGTTGTGTTAGAAAGCATGAAAACTTGAATCTCTTTGTATATCTCCATCAGAGCCCTTGGTGACCAGCTGCATTGTCAGTGGGCAGTACTATTTTGAAAAAACTCTTTTCCTGAGCAGTAGGTCTCAACAGTGGACTTAAAATATTCAGTAAACCATGTTATAATCAGATATGCTGTCCAGGCTTTGTCGTTCCATTATAGAGCACAGGCAGAGTAGATTTAGCATAATTCTTAAGGGCCCTAGGATTTTTTGAATGGTAAATGATCATTGGCTTCAACTTAAAGTCACCAGCTGCATTAGCCCCTAACAAGGGTCAACCTTCAAGACCTTTTCCTTTGCAGTTGCAACTTGGTTAACTGTTTGTTTGGAACAAGAGGCCTAGCTTTCAGCCTATCTCAGCTTTCAAACATGTCTTTCCCTTTAAGTTTAATCATTTCTAGCTTTGACTTTAAAGTGAGAGATGTGTGACTCTTCCTTTCACTTGAAAACTTAGAGGCTATTGCAGGGTTATTAATTGGCCTAATTTCAATATTGTGTCTCAGGGAATAAGGAGGCCCAAGGGTAGTGAGAGAGATGGGGAACAACCAGTCCATGGAGCAGTCAGAACACATACAGCACGTATCAGTTAGTTTCCCATCTTACCTGGACATGGTTCTTGGTTCCCCAAAACAATTACAATAGTAACATCAGAGATTACCATAAGAAATCTTATAATGAAAAAGTTTAAAATTTTGCAATAATTACCAAAATGTGACACAGAGACACAGAGTGAGCCAATGCTATTGGAAAAAATGGTGTCAATAGACTTGTAGGGCTGCCACAAACTTTAAATTTGTAAAAAAACCCCAATATCTGCAGAACAAAATAGAGCAAAGTGCAACAAAACGAACTATGCCTATATGTGATGCAGTGTTCTCAACTATGAATTTGACTATTTTAGATACCTCATGTAAGAGGAATCATGCAATATTTGTCTGATGACTGGCTTATTTCACTTAGCACAATCAAGCAGTCCCGCTTTTTGGGAGATATCCAAAGGAATCGACATAATGATCTCAAAGAGATATCTGTACTTCCATGTATTAATCACAATAGTCAAGATATGGAAATAATTTAATGTCCATAGATAGATGAATGGATAAAGAAAATGTGGTATATTCTTACAACGGAATATTATTCAACCTGAAAAAGAATATCTTGCTATTTACAACAACATAAATACATTTATTGTAAAAATGACTGTAGACTTCTGGTTGGGCCAAGATGGAGTAAGCCCCATACAACCTTTCTTTCTTTCACAGATTATAAATGAAATTCTGGAAAGAGGACAAAAAGCATGTACTTGAAAACACTTAAGAGTAATAACAGCCACACCTGAATAACAACCAGTAATAGGGTGATTATGGTGGATTTTTTGCCACCTCTGTGATCTAGCTTACCAAAGGCAGATGAAGTCCGGCAGTCACTGAACGTAAAAACTCTGGAATCAACGCTTATTTCTAACCAGACTAGTAAGAAAGTAGGCCTTGCATGTTGAGAAGTGAGGTCATCTCTATTTGTTTTGTTTTTCTCCCCCCAGTTACGAAGTCTCCCCTAGAGCTTCAATGATGGCAGAGACACCTAAAACCTTGAGAAATTACCTACATCTCTGGACAAAGGAACAGGTAAAAAGATTCCTGTTGTCTGAAGAGTGTAGGAAAATACTTATTATTATCTTCTTTCTTTTCTCTTGCTGTTTCACCTAAAAAGTTGACCTAGTTGTGTGGAACCACATAACAACACAGGGGCTAAAACACAGAGAGGAACACGTAAGAGGAGCCCTTGAAGCCTGATAATATGGGGAGAGTCCTGATGAGGAGAAAGTTAGAGAAGGGGGTTATTTAAGTCTGTGTATGAACCAACATTAGTCCTGGGTTCACCCTGAGCCACACACACGAATAGACCCAAAGAAGGGGAGCGAAGGCTTGGAGAACTGAACTACAAAATAAACCATCACGCAGCTCCCAGATTAACCCCTGAGTGGTGTAAGTACCACGTGGACCGAAACAATACAGCAAAAGCACTGTGGGTGGAACAACTGCCACAGGAGGCACGATACAACATGCAGTTTGACCTCAACTGCGTCGATTGCTTAATAAAACAACAGATAAAGAAATATTAACAAACTTCGGGGGATTTTAAGAGGAATCGGAGCCTCATAACATAATGAGCCATCTGTCTAGGATATCATCCAAAATCACACAACAAAACAAAGAATTAGGAACATCTCACCAGTTCTCAGAGGAAAAGACATTCAACAGACCCAGCCACGAAATAATCCACATAAAGGAATTATCAGACAAAGTATCTATTATAACCTGCTCAATGAGGTAAAGGTAAATTCTCTTGAAAGTAATTGGAAGAAACGCATTCTGAGCACAGAAATAAAAACTGTGGGGAAAAAAAAGCAAATGTAAATTTTAGAACTTAACATACAATTTCCAAAATCAGAAATACACTGGACAGGCTCACTAACAGAATGGAAAAAACAGAAGAAAGAGTCAGAAAATGGAGACTGACAGAAAAGACAAATCCAAAGAAGAGAAAAAAGGTTGAACAAAAAGTAAGAGGCCTTCAGAGATGCACAAAACAATATCAAAAGTTCTAAGTCTTGAGTCAGAAAAGTATCTGAAGGAGAGGTAAGATAGGTTGGTGCAGAAGAAAATATATGGGGAAAAAGGTGGTTGAAAACTTCACCAGTTTATTACACACAGATCTAAGCTCAGAAAGCCTCACCCTGATGTAATTAATCTCATAAAAAAAAAAGCAAAGATGAAGAAAAATCTTAAAAGCAGTCAAGGAAAATGACATGTTATATATGAGAATATCAATATGAAGGGCTATGATTACTTATCAGAAAACATAAAGACCAGTAGAGAGTGGAATAACGTGTTGAAAGTGCTGAAAGATAAGATCAACCCAGGATATTATATGGAACAAAGATATTCCGAAGGATTGAAAGCCAGACAAAACCAAAACCAAAATGAAGACTAATAGACATGAAAGAAAACCAAGAGAAAACAAAATCACTACCAGACAACTTGCCATAAAATACGCGAAAGGAACTTCTTTGGACTGAAGAGAAATGGGACAAGAGGGAATCTTGGAACTTCAGGAACAGAGAGCAACAGAAATGGTCAGTATCTGGATAAATGTGTAACCTATTTTTCTCTTAAATTATTTAATATATGTATGACTCGGGTGACGAAAGAATACCACAGTCTCAGAGGGTGGCGTTCAAGTCACGTGAAGATAATACTGATGACAACTGTAACAGTGGAAGGTAAAAGAATCTGGATGGTGTAAGGCTTCTACATTTTATTTAACTGATAAAATACGAACTCTAATAGGACTGTGAAATGATTGGTATACATAGTGCTATTCCCAAAACTAAAAAATAATTACAAATTCACTCAAGATAAATTGGACTTCATTAGACCTATATCTAGTAGTTTTGAATTAAAAAAAAAAAACACACTAAAATATTCACATACAGGTTTTTGTGAGAACATAACTTTTATTTCTCTTGGTTAATTGCCTAGAAGTGGAATTGTAAGGTCCCGTGTTAAGTATATCTCTCCCAACCCGCCCAGGCATCATTCCAGCAGGGTCTGGGTGACGTAGGCACTTCAGTCCTTAGCGGCTCTCCCCTCCTGTGTCCCCAGAAGAAAGGGCAGAAGGACACACAGGTGCAGATCCTAAAGCTGCCACTTTGTGCAATGGCTGCTGGGCCAGAAATGCTACTCCCCAGGCTTCCCCCTCTGCTGAGTGGGACCCCATGCGGTACAGTTTGATCCCGGAAAGCTGCGGGGCCAGGCCAGGGGAGAAGCCGCTGCCTGTCAATACGCTCATACTCATCACCCTCAAGCAAACACTTCCACCTCTCAGCAGATCTGGAAGTGCCTGAGCCTGAGCATCTGGGACACATCCGCACTTTGCTTATCCCTGGTTCCGCGTGGTCTTTGTGCCCCCTCCCCTCCCCGTTCCCCTAGAATCTTTGTGCGCACTCGTTCCTCGTGACCCTGAGAACGCGCGCTCATTTTTCACGAGCACGTTCCAAGCGCATCCAGGCAACAGGCCTGGCAGTGGGCGCTTTGCCTTCGGCAGTGTTGGCCTCTGAAGGAGCTCGCTTGGAGCCCGCTCTTTATCCAAAGACTGACCTCACCCAATTGCCCCATGGGTAGTTACCTGGGCAGGCTCTGCCCCCCGCCCCCACCCCAGGCACCGAAGGGCCAGTGCCGTTCTCACAGCGCCCACCACCTTACCTTGGCGCGCCAAAGTCACCCAGGTGTCCACGTTCCTCCGTCCACTTGCAAGCCAAACCGCAAGTATTCGATGACTTTGCCTCTGAACTTTGTCAGAGCGTTTCCGAGACGATATTCCAGGATGCCACAGTCCCTGCGCTTTTTTCTGGAGGTCTTTACCTCACTCTACAGGCATGGCCATCAGAGGAAGGCGGCGCTGTCTGCTCCCGACTCAAAGATGGCCTGCAGCTCAGTGTCTCTAGTGGACAAAATCACTCTCTGCGTGGCACAGGAGCAGGTGTTCACCCGGATGCCACCCACAACACCCACCTGTGCCCCAAACAGCTGCACAGAGCAGGTTGTGTTGAGGGCCCCGGGAGAAAGCTGGAAAGAAACGGCAAAGCAGGAGCAAGACGACCCTGCAATCATACAGAAGCAGGCCAATCAGAGAAGGGGCCCAGATGGCACTGGGGGTACACAAACTGCATTTAGGCCCCTGGGGGTCCAAAGAGGCCTCTCTCCCCTGGTGCCCAGGCCTGGGCCTCTGCAGAGAATCTCTCACATGGAGAGCTCAGAAGATACATCCAACAAGAAATCCAGGACCTCTGGGATTAGCTTCTGCCCCAGAAGAAATGCCATCACAAGCTCATACAGCTCTACTCAAGGTTTCCTGCCAGTGCAGACGAGGAGGGTTCCATCCACATCCCACACCCAGCTGTCCTCAAAGAAAGTAAGCCAGGAGGGTTCTTCGTCTCCCCATTCAGCTTCAGAGTTTTCAGCTTCGGTGTTTTCCCAGAGGAAGAGCCAGCAGGAAAAAGATGCAGATGTAACAAAAGGGCAGAAACGAACCTGGAGAAACTGCTCACCCACACCTGACAGTTCCAGGCCCCCAAAACGCAAGTTTCCTCTGTTGCCACACAGGCGAAGGGACCCTCTGAGGTTGCCATCACCCCCTGAGCTGAGTTTCCGAGTCACTGCAGAAGACCTAGACTCAGAGAAGAAAGCAGCGCTCCAGCACATCAACAATGTACTTTGGGGCGAGACTGAGACTATCCCAAACTGCAGTGCTGTGCAGCCTTTGAGTTCTCCCCCCTCGCCTGCTGCGGGAGTCGCTCCTGCACCAGCTGTCCCTCCAGCCCCTAGCATGGATCCACAGCTGGTGAAATGCAGGAGGAAGCAGGACTCCTCAGGCCCAGAGCCTATCCTGGAATCTGCTGGAGGGGCCACCTCTGTGCATCCTTTGTCTTCCTTAAAGCACAGCTCACCAGGTTCCCTCTTTACCCTGTCAGAGCCCCTGCCAGGTACCTCTACACACTCCCTGCCCTCAGCCCCATTCACCATGCTGACCGGTCCTTCCTCCCAGGTGTCAGGCAAAGCCGACCTGTCTGCAGGGCCCCCTAACCCCTCTGCCCCTGCCACCTTCTCAGCACTAGGCATGGACTGTGCAGTCTCAAGCCCACCTCCTCACTGGCCTGTTCTTACAGCTGCTGCAGCGTCCCCTCCACCCTTGATGTTGAAGCCTATCTGGGGGACCCCTCTGAATGGGGGAGGAGGAGGCCCTTTGCAGCCCAAGACCTTGGATTCAGCTGCTGCAGCGTCCCCTCCACCCTTGATGTTGAAGCCTATCTGGGGGACCCCTCTGAATGGGGGAGGAGGAGGCCCTTTGCAGCCCAAGACCTTGGATTCAGCTGCTGCAGCGTCCCCTCCACCCTTGATGTTGAAGCCTATCTGGGGGACCCCTCTGAATGGGGGAGGAGGAGGCCCTTTGCAGCCCAAGACCTTGGTTTCAGCTGCTGCAAATGCCACTTTTACCTTCCCCGCCGCTCCCAGCACTTTCAGAACGGATTCCCCCACTGAGATGTGTGTAGATCCTCCTGTCTCCTCACAGGGCCCCCCTCCCATCACTGATCCTAGTGCCTCTCCCTCCACTGGCACGTCTGCAGTTAGTGCCAGTCCCCTAATCAGCACATCTGCAGGCTTGGCTCCCCACCCTGCCTTTGACACTGGGGTCACCTCCATGGGCAGCACTCTACCTTCCCAGCCTTTCCTCTCAGGGGCTCCTCCTGGCACCAGTGGGAGTTTTTTCCTGTCTGCCCAGACTCTTCAGACACGCCCCAGTGGTAGTATGGCCTCAGTCACAGTGGCCACCAGCCCGCCTGCACCGAGTTTTTGCAGGCCTACCCCAACTTTGAAACTTCCTGTGAACCCTGGAGCCACTGCCCAGCCCATCATTGCGTCCCTTAATGGGCAGCAGCACAGAGCCATCACCTTTGACAGCTCTGCCCAGCGTAAAACACTGGCAGCTCCAGCTCCAGCCCAGGCCCCAACCTCTGCTCCAGGCCAGCCAACCTTGGGCAGCATCACATGGACAGCTTCTAGGGGCTCATTACCCACAACTTCTGCCTTCAGTACCTATGCCAGCACCCAGCCAGCCTTTGCTGCCACCCCAACTGTATTCCCCTCTGGCACAGCCACTGCCTCTGGTTTCGCAGTTGCCACCAACATGCCCAATGCTATGACCAATGCTGGTCCCAAAGGTCAGCAGCACTGCTCAACATGGGGAATCACAAGCTCCACCTCCTTCAGGGTGGGGGTTTCAGCAGCACCTATGGGCTTTAGGAACAGAGCGGCTACCCCAGATCTGAGCTGCACCTTTAGAGCACTCAACATTACAACAGAAATGAGTAAGGCCTCGAGCACCAAACACCCCCATGGGGGAAGCTTGGGCCTGAAGACCTGTGGCCCCCCTCGCCAGAGCACCCACATGAGGACCACAGGACCCAGCACTAACACCTGGGTGTCTGGAGGCACTACTGCCTCCACTTTAAGTTACATCCATGGGGGTGTGCCCAAGCAGAGCCCCCTTACTTCCAAAGGAGGGTCCAGCCCCACTGCCAGCAAGGCTGCCTTTAAGGGCATTCCCGTCTCAGTGTCCACTCCCAGCTCCCCTGCATCAGTGATGGGCACAACGAGGAAGAGCCTTGCCATTAGGGCCCCCTCATCACCTGTCCAGGGCTTGGTTGGGCACAAAACCATTGGTCAATCAACCAAGTCATTTTCCTCCAAGTCGAAATCCACTCCCTTGGGGTCTAAGAGGCAAATAGTCTCCTGAAAGAACTGCTTTCTCCAGAAGAAGCCAGTGTCCACCTTCCTTCTAGGCTGGACCGCATGTGAGCCCCATTTAGATATGCAATGCAAATCTAACCCTGACCTCTGTGATCAGGAGCAAACTGGGTACCCAGAGATACAGCATCTCATTCCCTGCCCTGTCCTGCCATTTTCCTCAAAGCTGGTTGATTTGAGGCTGTTAGAGGCCATCATCCCATTCCCATTTCCCTTCAGTCCTGAAGCAGGCAGAACCCCTGCTGCCTGCAGTTGACTCTTCTCTCCCCATTTACCTCCCAGAACACTTATGTCTTCTCCATAACTTATTTTTGTTTATTATTATTATTGTTATTATTATTATTATTGTTATTATTATTATTATTTTATTATTATTATTTGCTTTTTATTTTCTCTCTTTGTTTTTGTTTTTTTTTCTCCATAACTTATAATAAAGCTTTGTTCTTGTTCCTGTGCATGAATCTCATGTGTCTGTATTTATGGACCAAGTGTGGAAATGACTAGTATGAGTGATAGGTATAGGAAGTCAGACCTGTTGAAAGTTTCTTGTGGACCAGATAATGGGATATGGAAAGTAGCACAACTCAATGGCTAGAAGGAGCAACACCTGTGTGTTTTAAAATTAAAAGTGTGTTTTAAGATTAAAAGTGTTTTTTAAGATTAAGTGATGCAGCCCAGGATAAAATGGGCCCAGAGAAGGCATAAACAGGAAGGATTATCTTTGCCTGTCAGAACTGATGCTGTTCATCCACCTCTCTGACCTGGAATGGGCTGGATCAGCCCTAGTGTACACTAGGAGACCACACTTTATACATTTAGTCTTTTCTAATGTAGCAGTTTCTTTTTCTTTCTTTCTTTTTTCTTTTTCTCTTTCTTTCTTTCTTTCTTTCTTTCTTTCTTTCTTTCTTTCTTTCTTGCTTGCTTGCTTTCTTGCTTTCTTGCTTTCTTGCTTTCTTTGCTTTCTTTTCTTCATTTTCGCTTTTAATAAGTCTTAGGCAAATCACCTATACACATGTATCACCCAGAGAGTACATGTCCTTACAACCCAAAACAATCTACAGATTCAATACAATTTCTATAAAAATTCCAATAGCATTTTTTTTTACATAAATAGAAGAAAATCCTAAAATTTCTAAGGAACCACAATAGACCGTGACTAACCACAGCAGTCCTGAGAAAAAAAGAACAAAGTTTGATGCATTATACTTCCCAATTTTAAACTATATTTTGAAGCTATAGTAATTAAAACAGTATGGTACTGGCATAAAAAGAAACACATACACCTAACAGAAAAGAATCAAGAGTCTAGAAATAAACCCATAGTCAACTAATTGACAAGGAAGCCAAGAATACTCAATGGAGAAAAAACAGCCTCTTCGGTATCTAGTGTTGGGAAAACTGGACACCTACACACAAAAGAATAAAATTGGACTGCTATCTTATACCGCTTGTACAAATTAACTTGAAATGAACTAAAGACTTGAAACTATAAAACTCCTGGGGGAAAAAAACAGGGGAAAAGCTCCTTAATATTGGTCTTGGAAATGATTTTTTGAATATGATACTAAAAGCACAAACAACAAAAACAAAAATCAACATATAGGACTTTGTCAAACTAAAAAGCTTCTGCACAGTAAAAAAAGAAAAGAATCAAAATGCAAAGGCAACCTAGGAATAGGAAAAATATTAGCAAACCACATGTATGATAAGAGATTAATATCCAAAATATATAAGGACTATGGCCATGCCACCCTGATCAAGCCTGATCCCATCTGATCTCAGAAGCTAAGCAGAGTTGGGCCTGGTTATTACTTGGATGGAAGACCACCTAGGAAGACCAGGTGCTGTAGGTGTAAAAAATTAAAAAATTAATTAAATAAATAACTGTAAGGAGCTCATACAACTCAACAGCAAAAAATATATATGATTTAAAAATAGGCAAAGCAAGACATGGAAACAAACAATGTCCATCAATGGATGAATGGATAAAGAAGATATGATAGATAGATAGATAGATAGATAGATAGATAGATAGAATGGGCTATTATTCAGCTATAAAAAGGAAGGAAGTCTTGACATTTTTGACAACATAGATATAACTTGAGGACATTATACTAAGTGAAATAAGTCAGAAAAATACAAATACTGTATGATATCACTTACATGTGAAAAACAAAACCTAACTCATGGATGCAGAGAACAGATTGCTGGTTGCCAGAGGTGGGGATTAGGGAGTGAAATGAGGGAAGGAGGTCAAAATGTACAGACTTCCAGTTATAAAGTGAATTCTGGGGACCTAATGTACAGTATGGTAACTATAGCATTGTATTGTAAACTAGAAAGTTACTAAATGAGTAGATCTTGAAAGTTTTCACCTCAAAAAAGGTAACTATATGAGATGTTGGATGTGTTACTAACCCTATTGTGGTAATCATTTCAAAATATATAGGTATATCAAATCATCACTTTGTATACCCTAAACTTACATAATATTATATGTGAATTATATCTCAATAAAGCTGGAAAAGAATACCCGAACAATTTCCGAAGAAGATATACAGATGGCAAATAAGCATATGAAAAGATATTCAACATCGTATCCTGGTGGGAATGCAAAATGGTAAAAAGACAGTTTGGCAGTTTCTTACAAAATTAAACATAGTCTTACCATATGATTCAGCAATCGTGCTCCTTTGTATTTACCCAAATGAACTGAAAATTGTGCTCCTTTGTATTTACCCAAATTTGGAAGCAACTGAGATGTTCTTTAATTAGTGAATGGATAAACTCTGGTATGTCCATACAATGGAATATTATTCAGCAAGATATCAAGCCATGAAAAGACATGGAGGAAGCTTAAATGCATATTGCTAAGTGGAAAAAAAAAACCTGAAAAGGCTCCACATACTATATGATTCCAACCATATGACATTGTAAAAAAGGCAAAACTATGAAGCAAAAAGACCAGTGGTTGCTAGAGGCTTGTAGGGAGAGTGGGATGAGTAGGAGGAACATAGGATTTTTAAGGCAGGAAGATTATTCCATACGACACTGTAGTGGTGGATGCAGGATGTTACACATTCCTCAAAACCCATAGAATATACAAACAATGAGTGAACCCTAATGTAAACTATGGACTTTGGATAATAATAATGTATCAACATTGATTCATCAATCTTAACAAATGTGCCACACAAATGAAAGATAATAATGATGGGGGACCTGTGTAGAAAAGTGAGGGAGAGAAGGTAAATGGGAATTTTCTGCACTTAACACTCAATTTTTTCTGTAAGCCTACCTGCTCTAAAAAATAGTCTATCAATTTTTTAAAAATTAATGAGAAAATGATAGACCATGAAAACATGAACAAAAATATAACTAGTGAATACCCAGATGCTCTAAAGGAAGCAAGAGAGCATGAACAAAAAAATGAAAAGGAAGACAGAATGCGTGCACCCTTGCAACCAGCTTACATCCTTTATCAGGCCTTGCATAAAGGTAGTTCCAGCACTGAAGACTCAGTACCATCAGGCCTGTTGCATTTGGTGTGGCTACATAGTACCAAAGTAATTCGTTCCCTGGCCATCTGCTCTACTCTGAAGCCTGTGAGCCAGTCATTGCTGTTCATTAGGGGACAAGAACCTGAACGAGAATGTTCTGCCCTTGGGAAAATGTTTTAAACACTCAGTTTTACAATCTGAACAATTTTTTGGTAAGAGCTGAACTTGGATGCCAGAAAGGCAGAGAGGAACTACCCCTGTACTTTATGTTATTCTATCACAGGCAACAAAGCTGTGAATAATAACCACAGAAACCCACTGACCTCGGGATCTTTCCAGTTAACTTCTGTAATCATTCATTCAGCAAACATCCAGTAGGCACTGGAGAGCAAGCTGTGAGCAAGAGAATCTGGTCTATCTTCCTTGTGAATTTCTCCCTCACATTCAGCCTTCTGTGGGGAGGTGCCTTCAGCGTGTGAGCTCAAGTTCAGGTCTGGTTCCTTGTAGCAGACAGTGGTGATGAATGTATAATACATGAGGGGAGGGACAATGCCTGCCTATGAGAATGAGAAAGGTTTCATGGAGGATCCCGAAGGATAAGTGGGACTTGGCAAGTAGAAAGGGGTGGAGTAGTAAGTGCATCACAAGAAGATGAAGATAAGGATGTTTCAGGAAGTAGCCGTGGGGTTGAAAACGTAAGAAGGGGAGTAGTGAGAGATAAGGCAGGCTGAAATCAGACACCTCGATCTACAACCACATTCAAAATCTGAACTTTAACCATAGACAATGGATGGGAGACCACTAAAGGATTTAAACAGCAGACTGACCTTGTTGCCTGATAAACATTTTTTGATCTATAGTACATCTAAAAATGAACTGATTTAAGTCTTTCCCTTTCATATTGAACATAAATTGGACATTGTCAAAATAAAAAAACTTTTGTGATTCAAAAGACATCAAAAAATAAAGACAATATAGAGAAAAGTTTGCAAATCATATATATAGTAATAAACTTGTATCTAGAATATAAAAACGATTACAATTCAATTATGGAAAGACAACCCAGTTTTCTAAATGTACAAATAGACATTTCTTCAAAGGAGATATAGAAAGAGCCATTAAGCACATAAAAAGATGTCCAACACCATTAGCTATCAGGGAAAAACAAATCAAAACCACAAAATCACTTCACATCCATTAAATGACTATAATCAAAAAGACATAATTGTTGGCAAAGATGTGGACCAACTGGAACCCTCATACATTGCTGGCTGCTGATGGGAATATAAAATGGTGTAGCCACTTAGTATGGCAGTAGGTACACAAATAATGAAACAAGTACTATATGACTCAGCAATTCAACTTCCAGGTGTACAACAAAGAGAAATGAAAACAGGTCTCTTCCCTTAGCTCCCAGCCCAACCAGGGCCCAAGAGCTGTAGGGCCCATATCCAAAAGAGAAGTCCTATTCCCACACCAGGACTCACAC